TTCACAACCTACGCCCACTGCACATATAATATTACGTGTACATACCTTAATAAACCAAAGGTTGATTGTTTGAACGAAAAAAAAGGCTGGAGGCCAAACGTAACTCCTCCACTTTCGACTTTTCGATGGTGACTGGCCAGAAGATGATTCTGTGAGGATTTATCAACACAGAACAGTTTCCGGACAGGATATTGTGACGTCATCAAATTGTCAGTGATGTCATTCATGGATAGTGACATCATCGTTTCTCCAGCAATGGATGTAATAAGTTTGTATGTGACTTTCACCCATAAAGGTACTCCATTTATGTTAAATTACTCGTAATATGACTTCCTAGAGGCGGGAGACACGTGACCCTATTTTCCCGTAGATAAATGTCCAAGGGGGCGTTGTTATGACGTAGAAAATATTCCCATTTCGAAACAGGTTGTAAGAAATGGGGAAAAACGGTAGCTTCACACCGTTATTCGTAACAGTAATGAAGAGGAATCATAAGGTTAATGCAAATGATTAACGCAAAAGAAATTTAAAATTGTGTTATTGATATATGAATAAATCTTTAGTATTTTTACTTACAAGGCATGATTATTTTTTAAAGAATGCTTTGGCATTTTATTGATGATTCTGGTGACGACATAAACAGTAACAGCTACAGTGATAATTGCTTTGTTACTGCTATTATCATTATGATTTTGTTGTTATTATCATCACCATTATTATAATCCATACCATCATCATTATTATTATCCATAGTATCAGTATTATTATAGCTGTTATCATTATCATTATCATTATTATCATTACCATTATTGCTATTGTTGTTATATTATTATTAACATTATCATCATTACCATCACCATTATTATTATTATTATTATCAATATCATTATCATTATCACTATTATTCACTATTATTATTATTATTGTTATTATTATTATTAGTAGTAGTAGTAGTGGTAGTAGTAGGAGTATCATTATCAGTATTACCATTAGTAGTAGTATCATTTTTGTTATTATTATCATTATTATCATTACTATTATCATTTTTATTATTATTATTATTATTATTATTATTATTATTATTATTATTATTATTATTATTATTATTATCATTATTATTATTATTTTATTATTATATTATCATTTGTTATTATTAGTATCAGTATTAGTATCATCATCCTCATTATTATCATTATTATCATTATCATTATTTTTATCATTATTATTATTATTATTATCGTTATCATTATCATTATTGTTATTATTATCATTATTTTCATTATGATTATTATTACTACTACTGCTATTATCATTATTAACATCTTTATTATAATGGTTACCATAATTTTTATTATTATTATCATTACTGTTGTTGTTGTTCTTGTTGTTAGCTGTATATCAATGTCATTGCTTTTCTTCATTGCCATCAATGATCATTATAATCATTTCTTAACAGGATCGACAACAACATGAATAAGAATGTAAAGCGCAGTCGTTCAAAAACACAAAGGCAAAGAGCTACTCATTCACTGACATACCGAATTAAAATTCACTTCCTATGACGTATCTCAGCCTACCTGTCAAAGACATCGTTAATGGAACCCCCTAGCATATTCTTTCTATTTTTTTCAGAACTTTTTATATATTATATTATATCTTATGCTATGATTTATACGTCTTATACTCGTTTGTAAAAGATATTTTATACTATGTCTCCTTTATCATGTTTTTTAACTATGTGTAAACTGCATGTAATGTATGTAATTTATACGAAATAAAGTTTATTATTATTATTATTATTAATATGTTTGACCTCCATCAGCGTCCTGCCAGCCTCGTAATGTCCTGTTGACTGTCACTTCCACCTGTTCATGTGTACCCTTGCCTCGCTACACATACAATAGCCTCTGTATACCTATCGTAAGATGTAGGATTCTATTTTCCTAATAACGATCCTGGGTTTTTGTTTACGCTGTCGCAGCCCCCTCCCCCCCCCTTTTTTTTTGCAGGGCCAATTTTAAGGAGGACGTACTTTTTAAGGGTAATTGGAAATACATAAAGGGAAAACTGGTATGTAATTGCAGAGGAATGGACTAGGAACTTCATACCATTTGAAGACTTGTTTCGTTGTTCTTGTTTATTGACATCAAATAATGTACACGGTTCGGTAACAACGTGAAAGGAAAATGCTAATAAAGTGAAATCTTAAAACTTCGAGGTAAAATATTTCAGGAGTTTGTTGGTTGTGGTAAAATGTCATGTTTTTTTTTATATCTTTTGTTCCAAAGCTTATTTTTAAGACTAGATATCAGGCATTATTACTTATTTTATATGAATGGCAACTAATCAAACATAAATCAAACAATGATAAGGGAGAACGTTTGACTGTAACGTTATATTGGAAAAACTCAAGTGATATATATGGCAAAAAAACAAAATTATAGTCAAAACCGCAAAAAAGCGTTTTATGATGGTTAGAGAAGATGCATATAAGTCTTCA